TGTGGGGCTAGGTCATGATAATTAAGTGTGGGTTAGATCATGCTAAGTAGGTGTAGGCTAGGTCATGCTAATTAGATGTAGGCTAGGTCATGCTAATTAGGTGTAGGCTAGGTCATGCTTATTAGGTGTAAGCTAGGTCATGCTAATTAGGTGTAAGCTAGGTCATGCTTATTAGGTGTGGGCTAGGTCATGCTAATTAGGTGCAAGCTAGGTCATGCTAATTAGGTGAGAGCTAGTCATGCTAATTAGGTGTAAGCTAGGTCATGCTAATTAGGTGTAAGCTAGGTCATGCTAATTAGGTGTGGGCTAGGTCATGCTAATTAGGTGTAATCTAGGTCATGCTAATTAGGTGTAAGCTAGGACATGCTAATTAGGTGTGGGCTAGGTCATGTTAATTAGGTGTGGGCTAGGTCATGCTAATTAGGTGTAAGCTAGGTCATGCTAATTAGGTGTAAGCTAGGTCATGCTAATTAGGTGTGGACTAGGTCATGCTAATTGGGGCTGGGCTAAGCACTTTTTTTGTTGTTTCAGACGTATTATGTGTGTGCTCGATCACGCTAATTGCTAATTAGATGTCGTCCAAGTAACGCTAATTTAATGTCTGTTGGGTTACTTTTTTTTACTAAAGTTTATTGACTAAAATAAGGGAAGATTGCCCAAAGATGGTACTAATGGCTCATGGTCACGCCTCATATACAGGAAGTCATATATAATATCCTGGATCAGGAACATGTGTCTGGAACATGTTTCCGGAACATGTCTCAGGAACATGTGTTTGGCACATGTGTCTTGAACATGTGTCTGGAACATGTGTCTAGAACATGTGTCAGGAACATGTGTCTGGAACATGTGTCTAGAACATGTCTCAGGAACATGTGTCTGGAACATGTATTTGGAACATGTGTCTGGAACAAGTCTCAGGAACATGTGTCTGGAACATGTCTCAGGAACATCTGTCTGGAGCATGTGTTTGGAACATGTGTCTGGATTCTGGAACATGTGTCTGGAACATGTGTCTGGAACATGTGCCTGGAACATGTGTCTGGAACATGTGTCTGGAACATGACTCAGGAAACATATCCAAAATATGGAAACATAGAAAAAGTTCCAAAAACATGGATCTATATACTCTAAAATGGGTTATACTTAGGTTAGTGGCTTATAAAAGCTCAAGAATATGGTTCATAAACATAATATCTCACCATCGTTGAGTTTCCTTAGAGTGTCGTCTGCTACGCAGATGTAGACAGAGCAGGGGTCTTTAATGACACCCCTGATAGGCTCAAACAGCTTGTACTCCACCCCTCGCACGGTGCATGTTTCTGGGGAGGGGAAGACGAGGTGAATGCTGGGACAGTCATTATGTTGTCATGTCGCCTGGATCCTCAGTCCATACCATCTGACATGGTCGGTCCTTGTCACCATGATGGTAGTCCTTGTCACCATGATGGTCAGTCCTTGTCACCAAAATGGTCAGTCCATGTCACCATGATGGTCAGTCCTTGTCACCATAATGGTCAGTCCTTGTCACCATAATGGTCAGTCCATGTCACCATGATGGTCAGTCCATGTCACCATGATGGTCAGTCCTTGTCACCATGATGGTCAGTCCTTGTCACCTTTCCATGTCACCATGATGGTCAGTCCATGTCACCATGATGGTCAGTCCTTGTCACCATGATGGTCAGTCCCTTGTCACCATGATGGTCAGTCCATGTCACCATGATGGTCAGTCCTTGTCACCGTGATGGTCAGTCCTTGTCACCATGATGGTCAGACCATGTCACCATGATGGTCAGTCCTTGTCACCGTGATGGTCAGTCCTTGTCACCATGATGGTCAGACCATGTCACCATGATGGTCAGTCCTTGTCACCTTTCCATGTCACCATGATGGTCAGTCCATGTCACCATGATGGTCAGTCCTTGTCACCATGATGGTCAGTCCATGTCACCATGATGGTCAGCCCATGTCACCATGATGGTCAGTCTTTATCACCATGATGGTCAGTCCTTGTCACCATGATGGTCAGCCCATGTCACCATGATGGTCAGTCCTCAGTCACCATGATGGTCAGTCCTTGTCACCATGATGTTCAGATCTTGTCACCATGCCCCAAACTAATAATCAAAGAACCTGCTACACTCTACACCACTAAATAATTATCGTGTGAAGTAAACCAACATTTATTTTTTCTTGACTGTTTTAAATCACTCATTTGAAACAACTTCCTTGTAAATTTTTTACAACAAACTCACAAACACTCAGAGGCGTAGCAAGTGGGGGGGGGGGGGGGGGGGGGGGAGCAGGGTGCGAACCGCACCGGGTGACACCATTTATGGGGGTGACAACAAGTTAAACAATAAATAGCAAATTATATACAGAAAAATGATAATTTCGCTTAATTAAATTATTAATTAGAGTGAATTAAATAGTCTTTTAAGAGCAAAGTGGTGGAGGGGGGGTGGTGGTGACGTAAACCTGCTAATGATAAAGAAAACATACAACATCCAGCTGTATTTATAACCGAATATAGATACAAATCGTTAGTATTATCTGAGCACAGTTTAAAGCAGTCACAGTGCGGGTGACGGGGGGGGGGGGAGAAGTTACATCAACTCAACGTTGAAATATATATGCAAGAGGAAAACGGCAATAACTTATATGTGTATTCATGTATGGGGTGGGGGTGAGGGGTAAAAAAAATAAGAAAAAAAAAGTATTTGAATACATATACACATGCATATACAAATACTTACAATATACCACACACACACACACACACACACACACACACATATATAATATATATATATATATATATATATATATATATATATATATATATATATATATATATATATATATATATATACTTACCTGGTTTGTCAAGCTTCCGACAGGCCATTAGACGTGATTACCAATAGGGTGGTCAACAGCATCCACACACACGGTGAGGCCTGGGAGTTATTTATAGAACTAGATGTCATTTGATTAACATACACATTAAAAACATGCATAACACACTAAAACTAATCCCATGCTCCTCATTGATTAGACATTAGGATTTGTTTTTAGATTTGGATAAGTAGATTACAATTTCGTAGCTTTAAAAAAAACGATTTTTTTTCCAAAGGCTTAAGGAAAGACTCTATTAACTAGACCTAGCATCAAATACTAAATACTGACATTTAAAAATGTACTAGAATCTAATTTTTACCATTCAAGTGGGATTTTAATCAAAGTCAAGCAAGAAAATTCTGAAAAAAAAGTAAAATAAGAACAGTTAGTTAATTATTCAAGCATTTGAGATTTTAAAAATATTTGAAATAATAAGTGAGCATGAAAATATCCACCAACCGTTAGATTTAGATCTAAAATCTAATCAAGGATCTAGATCTAGATCTAGAATCTAATCTAGAATCTAGATAAGATCTAAAATATGTTTCAACAGAAAAAAAATTGATTACATTTTGTAATAAAACGGCTACAGTAAGTTACATGAAAGTTATGATTATGTTAAAGCTAAAACTCTTTTGTACCAATTAGATCTAGATATCTACCAGCGTAAGATTTTCCTTCAGTCAAACACAAAAACTCCCTTTCGTATTTTTTGTTGTTGTACGTTAGGAACGTGGTCTGCTGAGCATTCTTCGCACCGTTTAGCACCACAAGAAATGTTTGCCTTAGTGGGTTTTAAAAAAATTAACCGAGCTGCGTATGATTTTGTTTAGCCCAAGCGCAGGGTGAGCAGAAGGTCTTTAGGCACACTACCAGCTTATTGTTGGGCAGAAGGTCTTTAGGCACACTACCAGATTATTGTTGGGCAGAAGGTCTTTAGGCACACTACCTGCTCACTGGTGGTTATAAGGTCTTTAGGTACTCTACCAGATTACTGGTGGGCAGAAGGTCTTTAGGCACATTACCATATTACTTTTTGGGCAGAATGTCTTTAGGCACTCTATCATATTACTGGTGGGCAGAAGGTCTTTAGGCACATTACCATATTACTTTTGGGCAGAATGTCTTTAGGCACTCTATCATATTACTGGTGGGCAGAAGGTCTTTAGGCACGCTACCATATTACTTTTGGACAGAAGGTCTTTAGGCACCTACCCAGATTACTGGTGCGCAGAAGGTCTTTAGGCACCCTATCAGATTACTGGTGGGCAGAAGGTCTTTAGGCACACTACCAGCTTATTTTGTTGGGTAGAAGGTCTTTAGGCACTCTATCAGATTACTGGTGGGCAGAAGGTCTTTAGGCACACTATCAGATTACTGGTGGGCAGAAGGTCTTTAGGGACTCTACCAGATTACTGGAGGGCAGAAGGTCTTTAGGCACACTACCATATTACTGGTGGGCAGAAGGTCTTTAGGGACTCTATCAGATTACTGGTGTGCAGAAGGTCTTTAGACACACTACGAGTTCACGTGGTAAGCAGAATTTCTTTAGACCTACTATTGGTAGATAGTGTGGACAAAAGGTCTTTAGGCATGCTATTACTAATTATCACGCAGGATTGGATACAGCTGTTGACCAGTTTTCACCCATTTGGACAATGTTGCTAATGAAAGAAAGCTGAGATAATTAATTATGCAGATTACGAGAGCCCCACTACAAGGAATGCTACTCGTACTATTTTTTTTCCAGTAATCTTACAATTTTTCGAATGATACGTTTATGTTAAGCTAAGATTTTTAAAATGTTAATTGGTATGATTGAAAAAAAAAAGAATGTAATGAACGTACTTATCTTTTTTAAAACAAAAAAGAGAACGTACTTGTCTTCAAACGTTTTGGAAAACAGGACATTGTTAAACAACATGATAGCATTCGATTGTTAAGTAAAGGAAACTTTGGTGTAGACATCCCTTATTGTACTGTAAAATGTGCACTGTGAAATGTATGGCAACTAATCTCGTTCATTAAATTGGAAGAAAAAACCATCATCTCAAATTTGAAATAACGGATCGATATTTAAAGGTCTCAAAACTTACAAGAAAACAAAATGTACTAGACGCTTATTTGAAGTCTGTAAAGGGAAATAACTTTAAAAAACATTTAACTTAACTAAATGTCGTTAGCCTCCCTTTACCTAAGATGTGTGTCATGAGCGACTACTCTATGGTACTCTATGCCTTTCTAAAGCCGAAACGTAAGGTCTACGTGCAAAATATTCTGTTTAGCTGATCTCGCGAAATGTTCTCTAGTTTTTGTTTTTCCTTTTTTTTACAACCTCCAATTTTCCAATAAAAAATAAAATATATCCAATGAACACGATATTGACAAAAAAAAAACTTTTTTTTCAAGTGCCCCTGAGTCACCGTGTCCTGATTACGTGATTACTTTTGTATGTTTGATTTGTTTTGTCTCAGGAAGCAACGATGATTGAAACCACCCAACAATGCCTCGCATAACGAACAAACTGGTTGAATTATGCAGATCTGCCTCACACGTCGAACGATCCGTGCTCAAAGTGGCATACTACTGTCGCGAGTAGATGTTCCTGGACATCTATGCACGATGATTTTGAAAAATCTACTCCACCTGTATTGTGAGACATTCAGGTACCTAGAGATCTTCGTGAAATAACAGATCTCTTTCAGAGTTTCTTCCAGGCATCTCTTCGGGGGGGGGGGGGGGGGGCTAAGCCCTCCCGAAATATTTTTACCGCCCCCCCCCCCCCGAACCAAATGAAATTTATATAATTTATATAGAAAATATATACTTTTAACAGTGTCCGCCCCCCCCCCCCTCCCAGAAGAAAGTCTACCGCCCCCTCCTCCCCCGAAAATTTCAAGCGCCCTCCCCCCCCCCCCCGGAGAAAAAAGTCTGGAAGAAACACTGATCTCTTTAACGATACGAGTCGTTCATTCGTGTTTGAAATGTTGTCAATTTGTTTAGCAGTTTCAATTATGACCACAGACAGACAGACAGACAGACAGACAGACAGACAGACAGACAGGCAGGCAGGCAGGCAGGCAGGCAGGCAGACAGACAGACAGGCAGGCAGGCAGGCAGGCAGGCAGGCAGGCAGGCAGGCAGGCAGGCAGGCAGGCAGGCAGGCAGACAGACAGACAGACAGACAGACAGACAGACAGACAGACAGACAGACAGACAGACAGACAGACAGACAGACAGACAGACAGACAGACGGACAGACGGACAGACAGACAGAGACAGACAGAGACAGACAGACAGACAGACAGACAGACAGACAGACAGACAGACAGACAGACAGACAGACAGACAGACAGACAGACAGACAGACAGACAGACAGACAGACAGACAGACAGACAGACAGACAGACAGACAGACAGACAGACAGACAGAGTATGCAAGTTAAATTAAAGGCTTGTAAAAAAAACACAAGACTACTCAAATGAAGCACGACTTAAATGATTTTATTTAAGAGTAGAAAACCGATTCGGGATTTAGGCATTGGAAGACACGGAACGGGCTGGAATTTTGCAGTTGAACTCCACACGTGCAGTTACGTCTCTGGCCGTGAGTGTAGTGGAAGAAGTACTCGCCTACCGTGTGGCATTCCCCGTCGTTGGACCGGCATTCTGGGGACGTATGGAGGTTAATTAGGTGTGGGCTAGGTCTTTCTAATTGGATGTGGGCTGGGCACTGGTGATCAGGAAAGTGGCCCACTAACATGGTTCATGCATGACCATGGCTAAAGTACATACCCAGTAACATCAGTCACTAACATGGCTCACTAACATGGGCCACTAACATGGCTCACTAACATGGCTCATTAACATGGCTCACTAACGTGGCTCACTAACGTGGCTCACTAACATGGCTCACTAACATGGCTCACTAACGTGGCCCAGTAACATGGCTCACTAACTTGGCTCACTAACTTGGCTCACTGACTCACTAACATGGCTCACTAACATGGCTCACCAACATCGCTCACTAACATGGCTCACTAACATGGCTCACTAACGTGGCTCACTAACATGGCTCACTAACATGGCTCACTAATATGGCTCACTAACATGGCTCACTAACATGGCTCACTAACATGGCTCACTAACATGGCTCACTAACGTGGCTCACTAACGTGGCTCACTAACATGGCTCATTAACATGACTCACTAACATGGCTCACTAACATGGCTCACTAACATGGCTCACTAACAAGGCTCACTAACATGGCTCACTAAAATGGCTCACTAACATGGCTCACTAACATGGCTCACTAATATGGCTCACTAACATGGCTCACTAACATGGCTCACTAATATGGCTCACTAACATGGCTCACTAACATGGCTCACTAATATGGCTCACTGACTCACTAACATGGCTCACTAACATGGCTCACTAACATGGCTCACTAACATGGCTCACTAATATGGCTCACTGACTCACTAACATGGCTCACTAACATGGCTCACTAACATGGCTCACTAACATGGCTCACTGGCTCACCAACATCGCTCACTAACATGGCTCACTAACATGGCTCACTAACATGGCTCACCAATATGGCTCACTAACTTGGCTCACTAACTTGGCTCACTAACTTGGCTCACTAACATGGCTCACTAACATGGCTCACTAATATGGCTCACTAACATGGCTCACTAACATGGCTCACTAATATGGCTCACTAACATGGCTCACTAACTTGGCTCACTAATATGGCTCACTAACATGGCTCACTAACATGGCTCACTAACATGGCTCACTGGCTCACCAACATCGCTCACTAACATGGCTCACTAACATGGCTCACTAATATGGCTCACTAACATGGCTCACTAACTTGGCTCACTAATATGGCTCACTAACATGGCTCACTAACATGGCTCACTAATATGGCTCACTAACATGGCTCACTAACATGGCTCACTAATATGGCTCACTAACATGGCTCACTAACATGGCTCACTAACATGGCTCACTGGCTCACCAACATCGCTCACTAACATGGCTCACTAACATGGCTCACTAACATGGCTCACCAATATGGCTCACTAACTTGGCTCACTAACTTGGCTCACTAACTTGGCTCACTAACATGGCTCACTAACATGGCTCACTAATATGGCTCACTAACATGGCTCACTAACATGGCTCACTAATATGGCTCACTAACATGGCTCACTAACATGGCTCACTAACATGGCTCACCAATATGGCTCACTAACTTGGCTCACTAACTTGGCTCACTAACTTGGCTCACTAACATGGCTCACTAACATGGCTCACTAATATGGCTCACTAACATGGCTCACTAACATGGCTCACTAATATGGCTCACTAACATGGCTCACTAACATGGCTCACTAACATGGCTCACTGGCTCACCAACATCGCTCACTAACTTGGCTCACTAACTTGGCTCACTAACTTGGCTCACTAACATGGCTCACTTACATGGCTCACTAACATGGCTCACTAACATGGCTCACCAACATCGCTCACTAACATGGCTCACTAACTTGGCTCACTAACATGGCTCACTAACATGGCTCACTAACATGGCTCACTAACATGGCTCACTAACATGGCTCACTAACATGGCTCACTAACATGGTTCACTAACATGGCTCACTAACATGGCTCACTAATATGGCTCACTAACATGGCTCACTAACATGGCTCACTAACATGGCTCACTTACATGGCTCACTAATATGGCTCACTAACTTGGCTCACTAACATGGCTCACTAACATGGCTCACTTACATGGCTCACTAACATGGCTCACTAACATGGGTCACTAACTCACTAACATGGCTCACTAACATGGCTCACTAACATGGCTCACCAATATGGCTCACTAACTTGGCTCACTAACATGGCTCACTAACATGGCTCACTAACATGGCTCACTAACATGGCTCACTAACATGGCTCACTAACATGGCTCACTAACATGGCTCACTAACATGGCTCACTAACATGGCCCACTAACATGGCTCACTAACATGGCCCACTAACATGGCTCATTAACATGGCTCACTAACATGGCTCACTAACATGGCTCACTAACATGGCCCACTAACATGGTTCAGTAAGATAACACATGACTATGACCCTATAAAATGGCTCAGTAAAATAACTAAGAAACGACTCATTAACATAATCTATTAACATTGCCCAGGACCACAATATCTCACCATCGTTGAGTTTCCTTAGAGTGTCGTCTGCCACACAGATGTAGACAGAGCAGGGGTCTTTGATGGGGACCCTGATGGCCTCAAACAGCTTGTACTCCACCCCTCGCACGGTGCATGTTTCTGGGGAGGGGAAGACGGGGTTAACGATTTGACTCATTTTTACTTTCTCGTATATACGAAGTATAGAGAAAGTCTTGTAATCGTGCAAAAAAAAAAATCGAGATTTTTTTAAAAATCTCGACGTTTTGCACCTCACTGACACGGAAAAACATAATGTTGCAAGCTTGTCCGTATGTGTGTGTGTGTAAACACGATAACTTGAGTACCGTTACAGCTAGGTTGATGAAGTTTCATATATAAGTATTACATCAAATTTGTAGTTCTGTATCAAATTTTCAACGATTTACGCTAACCGGAAGTGGAAATTTATTTTACTTTCGTTTTTTCAAAAGCCTATAACTTGAGTAATGTTTATGGTAGATAGATGAAATTTCACATTTGCCTGGTAAGTCCATGTCACCTTTCTGATAAGTCTATGTCACCATGATGGTAAGTCTATGTCACCATGATGGTAAGTCTATGTCACCATGATGGTAAGTCTATGTCACCATGATGGTTAGTCTATGTCACCATGATGGTAAGTCTATGTCACCTGTCTGGTAAGTATATATCACCAGATGATCAGTCCATGTCACCTGTCTGGTAAGTATATATCACCAGATGATCAGTCCATGTCACCCAGCTTGTCAGTCAACAAGTTAATGATCAAACAGCCAGATAGGCACTAAACCTATAGTTACCGTGTAAAGTTTGTACATTGTTATTCTGCTCTACTGATTAAAATTACTCTCTTAAATTAAATATTTTTTTTTCTACAACACCTAACACAACACAAACACTGACATGGTTTGCTCACAAACACTTACCTGATTTGTCATTCCTCCGACAGGCATTAGACGTGATTACCAACAGAGTCGTCAATAGCATCCACACACACGGTGAGGCCTGGGGGTTATTTATAGAACTAGATCTCATTAACATACACATTTAAAACATTGTATAACACACTTTACAGTGGCGTAGCGAGGTCGGGTGTCACCCGGTGCGGCACTTAATGGTGTCACCCCCCCCCCCCCAGAGGCATAGAGACCCTTCCCAGGGACAAACTTTCAAATTTTCGATTTGCAACCCCTCCCCCTCAAGCATTCGATTTGCATCCCCCCCCCCCCCAAGTTTTTCTCTATATATTTTGCTATTTTTTGCATTGGTGTCACCCCCCTAAATGGTGTCACCCGGTGCGGTCCGCACCCCCGCCCCCCCCCCCCCCTCGCTACGCCCCTGACACTTTATTCCATGCTCCTCAATAATTAGAGATATGGGTTTATTTTTAGATTAGTGTTACGGGTCAGTTGTAGGTTACATTAGAATAGGCTAGAATAGTCTAGAACGTATGGGGGAGGCGTGTGTGAGTTGAGTTAACCCCGAGGTGTTTAGGGATTGTTATCCCAAGGTCGACTGCGAGTATAAAAGCTTGAGTAAACGATAGTAAAGGGGCTTTTAGTGAGTAGCTAGGGACGAAGACTTGTGGTGTAATGATAAAGATGGCTAGTAGTTAAATAAAAGTTTGTATCGTGTTTGGAGTTGAAATAAAGGACGATTGTAACAATTAGGATTAGTAGATTACAATTTCTTAACTTAATTTAAAAAAAAAACAACTATTAGGATAACGATACTAGAAACTAGATCTAGCATCAAATACTAAATACTGACATTTTAAAATGTACTAGAATCTTATTATTACCATTCAAGTGGGAATTTTTAACAACCACAATCAACAACGTCAAGAAAACTTCTGAAAAAGAAAGAAGATTGAACAAGTTCACTTAGCTTATCATTGAACCATCTGATAACATTCAGACAGGAAAAGTCATTAGGCCGACAGTTAGGTTTCGAAATTCTAAAATGTGTTTCAACAGTCTAAAAAATTAATCATAGTTTGAAATAAATAACTACACTAAGTTACATTAACATAATAATTATGGTAGTTTTAAAACTTCTTTGTAATAATCACCAGGGTAAGATTTTTCCTCATCAAATCAATAACAAAAACTCCTTTCGTATTTCTTCTTCTAGTACGTTAGGAAAATGGTCTGCTAAGCATTTTTCGCACCGTCTAGCACCACAAGAGATGATTTGCTTTCGTGGGTTTTTAAAAACTTAATTCGCTGCGAATGAATTTGTCTCGCCTAATATTCTATTTGGTAGTATCATACTGCTTTAAAAAAATAATATTAAGTGTTTTAATTAAAACAATTTTTTTTATTTAATTAAGCACTAAAAAGTAGAAAATAAATTATATCTATAAATATATAATAATAAACCACTATTCAAATTACTGTAACTTCTTAAATTTTAGTAAAGGTATTCAATAGAAAATATAGTGACCCATGCTTTTCTTTGTAGTTATTTGAATTCAATGTGCGTATAATTTGATGTAACATTGCATGATCTTTGGATATGGAACCACGACCAAGTCTGAAAGAAATTTTTTAAAGAAGTGCTTGAATATCTCTCGCCCGTTTCCACCCAAGACGAAACATGACAGACAAAAACAGAAGAAAGCAAGTTAAATAAAAGCTTATAAAAAACAATAAGATCAGTTGAATTGATTATTATGAAAGGTAGTCGTATAATTAATGGAATTTGCATAGCTCTGAAAGTTTCTGATACAAAGTTTCTCATGTAAGTTTTAGATTTTACGGCAATTGTTTATAAAATAAATGGAATACAAATATTCTACCATGCGAATTATATGTTAGATATGTTTCTAGAAAGTAAAAATAAAGAAAAAAATTTCGTTTAGTTCTACGAGCGATTTCCGTCAAATGTGTATTCGGTTTGAACGCTTTTTTTTTCTCATTCAAACGAAAACGTAATTGTAATCTCAAGGAATACACTAAAGACTAAACAATATCGAGAAGTAAAAGAATGAAAAATCAGCTGAATATGCTAAAATAAAAAAAAAAATGTGTCTAATTTTTTAAAGTGACAGAACAATTTATCATTGAACGTGACTTTTGTGTCGTTCATCATTTGCTTCAAGTTTTTTAAAAATAAACCGAGCTATAAATAACCATTGAGCATAATCATAAGGAATTTGTATCTATTTAAATTTTATTGTTACGGAGTTTCAATGTAATAAAGGTCACCTTTAACTTCCGTATTTTATAATTTCACATGCCGGTTTTGAGGCATAAAATGGATCAGTAAACCATCTGTATTCAGCTTTTCTTTCATACTTTCTCTTTCACATTAAAATTTCGGTGAAGGAGGGGTGGGGGGTGAAGAGACCAAATTTTCGGGAGGTTGTGCGACTACCTGTATTAAATGACAAGCAAGTTCAACCTTCACTTTAATGTTGACACCATTATACAACCACCATTAATGTAATCAATGTAATATTGTCCCCATTGAGATCATCTTGTGGTATCACATAATTTTTTTACCGCGTTTCTATTTTAAGCCACCACAATCTATATATATATATATATAATCTTACCAGGTCAAGTCTAAAACACGCCAGTGTAGGTGGTGGGTGGGGTAAAGTTGGGGGGGGGGGAGAGAAGAATATTAAGAATAGACACATGTATGTTTTAACTGTTAATTTATGGACACAAGCAAAATAATATGTAAAACGGAATGGGCTACGTTGGAAAAAAACGATGAAGGCTGTCTGTGATCTAAGCCTAGTAAAAATAAGTTTAATCCTAATTTGTGAGAGTTTGGTTTGGCTTACGTGAAGAATGGATGTAAGCCTAACGTAGGGGCTGTAACATAAAAGTTAATTAGTAAATTAATTAGTATATTAATTTTTCAGACATGACTGTCCACATCATGGATCAAATAGTTTATCTGTTTATGATCTCATGATGTAAATAGATTACAGTATCAGCGAGACGTCCCATCGCCTTTACTTTCCCCAACTCGAGTCAGGTACTCATTAGAGCTGAATAGACTCTAGACTTAGGGACTTCCTGAAGAATGGAGTCAGGGATACCCTTCAATCACGCTGTGGTTATGGGTAAACTCCACAAATGACGTCACATTCATAGGGGGGGGGGGGAAGAAGATTTGAGCTGTTGTGACGACGTGTGACGACAGGGATGAGGGTGATTCCGAAATGACGTCACATTTTTAAAAATTCATAAGTAATTTTAGAAACGGAAGTTTATTTTTTATTTCGCATAATGCAATGATTTATTTTGTAAAATGTAGTGGTAAATAATCAATTACCGTATGCTGACTCAGCCTTATTAATATTTTGGAAGTATATTTTTTTTGAAAAACCATACAATTAGTAGCTTGAAGTGTAAAACAACATTTTAAGTGGAGGGGGGTGGCGTTTATGAAGATGAATGACGTTGGGGGTGGGTGGTAAAAGTTGTAAAAAAAATGCCTTTACGGACGAATTCGAAAACAAATTTTAAAAGCCTAAAATAAGGATTTAACCTATATGAAAGAGATGTTTAAGGATATGCAAATAAGCAATGTGGCCTTGGATAGTTAGCCTGAAAACTGCAGTAGAGGAGACAAGTTCCATAAATATAAAACCATTTTTTTAGCGGCAGTGTGAAATCAAAATATCACTGAGTTTCAGTTATTCTAAGATAAAGGTATTTATAAACTGTGCAACTCTACATTCTGTAATATCCCAAACCTCGTTTTATATAAACTTTACGGCGTAAGTATTTTTAATCCGTTTATATAAAACTTAGTTTTATATAATCCCTATTTATATAAACGTTACTACTTAGGTATCTATAATCCCTGTTTTATATAAACGTTACTGTTTAGGTATCTATAAACCCTGTTTTATATAAACGTTACTGCTTAAATATCTATAATCCCTGTTTTATATAAACGTTACTACTTAGGTAACAAGTCCCAGCCCTCGTTTTGATACAAAAGCAAGGCATTGTGGGCCTGCCCCGTGTAAGCGTCTAACAACCAGCCAACTGTAAAACGAACATAAAAACTCCCGCGATCACGTTCTCGCGAGATTGATGACCGAACCATCTCGAGGCTTGTGATGGCCCACCACGGCGTGGAGAACACAAAAATATGACCGTCATGTTTTACCTGGGTGACATGCTGACGTCACAGGTGGGCAGCCTGAACCAGGGGGGGGGGGGGGGCGGGCGGTCGTTTGATCCACGGAGACAGCTGACCAGTCCACTCAGGCTGAGGTGACGTGTACCGAAGCTGAGGGGTCGAGTGTGGGACATGCTAGCCTACAGGGGTGCACTTGGCTGAGTTATAAAATCTAATCCTCACAAGGCTGAGTCGGTTGTCTAGGATAATTTTACATCTAGGAGGCATGTTTTCGTGGGGTCTAGGCATATATATATATATATATATATATATATATATATATATATATATATATATATATATATATATATATATATATATATATATACAAATATAAAGACACATTTATTTATATACAATATATATATATATATATATATATATATATATATATATATATATATATATATATATATATATATATATATATATGTGTGTGTGTGTGTGTGTATGTATGTATATGCATATATACGTATAGATATAAATATATACATTATATACATTTTATATATATATATATATATATATATATATATATATATATATATATATATATATATATATATATATATATATACCGAGTAATTGTATTTGTAAACATATTTGTTTTTACACGTGAAAGGGTTTCTTAAAGTGAATTTATTGTAATAAGCCCACTGATAAAAACTTTCGCCAAACTCGCTGATGAATTCCTAATTATGTGTTCATCACACGCAACAAATGTTTACAGGCCTAGCATTTCGCCAATGTAGCGAGCCGGTCCATTTGGGCTGCCTTGGTGTGTGACGGCTGACAACGGTTGTTTACGGTCATTAGCTCGTGTTGTAATATCCCGACTTGTCAACCGTT